GAGGAGGAGAGCAGTACTACCGCTACCAGCAATTGCGTCGTGAAGCTGTTGCGCAGGCACCCGGCCGCAGATCTTAAATCGACTTGCGGAACTCGGTGCCCAGCAATGCGACGGCGTACTACGATCCTCGCCATCTTCTGCTGGGCCCTGCTCATCTCCAGCCATGTGGTGGCCTCCCAGACCTATCAGCTCGAGGTTCCCGCAGGTGAGATCATTACTTTTCATGCCCGTTACAGGCACAGTAGATGCCCTAGCTCATGAAACGTCCACCGAAATTCTTTAATGTGTTTTCGATTCGAACAAATTACTCAAGTAGGGTTGTTGCACTGATTGGCATACAGCCCTATCTCAAGATATTTTGACAACAGTAGTTTATGCAGTGCACCTCATTAATCCCTAGTCTCAACATTTTGTCCTACGAAAACGGTTCTTATAGGTTTTTATGGGTGGGGAATTAGGATAGGCAGTGGAGTATACTTTAATATCTGATATATGCCTTTTTATTTTATTATATTCAGAAATTTTGTTTTTTATATCTGTAGATTTTCCTAATCTGTATTATCGCTAAACGTATTGCGGAAAAAGCTGATTATCAAATTGCAGGTTTCTTGAATTTCCCGAAAAATAGAAATGGTGATTAGGGGGTCGTCTACTTCAACTTACCTGAGGTCTGACTACCCTTCTGGATTTAGATTAGTATAGTTCGCGGCGCGAAGCGCCGCACACACCTACAATTTACATGCGGAACAACTTACTCCCAGCGGCCGCGGGAAACAAATTCAACTACGTTTTTCCACTTAACATTTACTGCTAAAAATTTCCTTCCCTGTCTATCCTATTTCCCACCCGAAAAAACCTCTATAACCACGTTTTCCATAGGACAAAATGCTGGGACTAGGGATATATGAATTGCACTACATAAACTGCTTTTGTCAATATTTTGGTCAAGTCAGTTTGCCGGCTTTTGAACGAGCACCTCTCTGAATGCCTGCTAAAAGTGTGCTGTGTATAAAGTGGCTACTTAAGTAATATGTTATTTGTCATTGATTTTCCCTGCTCTAACAAAGTCAAACATAGGTTTTAGAAGGATGCACAACAATAGTCTTTCTTTTACTCGTTTGGTAGAACACTGCGCCTTCTTCAAATTTTATACTTAAAGAAAGGATATCTTTCGGTTTTAAGAAAGTCTCTATATTGCCAAATAACTTTGAACTCCGCCGGCCATTACACTCGAATTCGGGGTCTCCAAAATAAATACCCTATAAATTCTGTCTTAGGATAAGTAAATAGTTCCCTAACGTGGGCGGAAGAATTCGTAAATTTCTTTTAAAATCTTGCTGTGAATGTGGACCAAATGGATAGATGCGTTGTAGTAAAAGTGCATATTTAATGGTCGTAAAATACGTCATAATAAGACACATTTTAGGTACCGAGAGATATCCTTTATTCATGTATTAACTTTGAAGAAAGCGTAATCCGCCACCAAATCAGTAAAAGAAATGATATTTCTGTGCATTTTTTCCATAACACGTACTGGAATTTATTAGGGCAGCGAAAATCAATCAGAAAAACGCATACTACTTAAGTAGCCACTTTATACAGACTATACTTTAGCAGGCAGTCAAAAAGAAGCTCGTTCGAAAGCCGGCGTCCTGATGTGACTGAAATATATTGAGAGTAATTTGCACAATAGTCACTATTGTTCGGATTTTAACCAGTAAGTTCGGATTTGAACCACATTTCAGTATTTACTTTGACAGAACTATCCTCGGCACCCATGCCCTGATCGTTTTAAACAACTGAAGGCTGCGCAATGTTAGGGAGTGCGGTCTCTCTCTCAGGTTTTTTCGGCTGTATTTCTTCAACTCTGAATGCGGTCGGTGCTGTGAAATGCTTTAAGATAACGCTTTGATGCCTAGCGCCTCCTAGGTTGCGCTTCGAAGAAATATCTGCTTGTGTCATTTTGATGGGTTAAAGTTAACTCTGCCTTCATTAAGTGGTCGGCTTAAGGTTAGGTTTAGGACTAGTATTAGTTCCAGGGATTAGGTTTAGGGGTTTAAGCTCAAGTTGAGGCTTAGATAGGAGCTTAGACATGTTGTCAATTTCAAGTATATCTTAATACTCGGCCGTCCCCAGTGTCAGATTAACCGACACGTCATTCTTAATTCCCCTGATCCTCTCGGACTAGGGTCGGTTCACCTACTCTATCGAACCGATGTGCTTGGTTTTCATTGTTTCGCCCCTTTACTCCTCCTAATTTCGAGTATTTCGACCTTCGCATGCGAATGGCGGCTTATTTTGAAAAGCCCGCATTTCTCT